CGAAGCCGCGTGATTAGAAGTTCGAGTCAAGCCCGTCACATTGCCGGCAGGAAAGGCGACGGGGCGGGGGCTCCTCCACCCCACACCCCAGCTCACGCCTCCACATCTGACGCGTTTCCTCCCCGACAGGATAAACAGGTTAATAAATCACTGAAATGCTCCTGTCTTAATGCCTTCATCTTCAAAAACACAGACACCACTTTGCCGCAGGGCCAAGTCTCCATTCTTCACCCTCGCTGACAGAATCGAAATTGGGCCTCTGGTGACGGCCTTCGTGGGGAGGCCGCTGCGCGTCCCCGCCCGCACCTGGGCGCCTGCCGGACCCTCCCACACCAGGGTGCCGGACGAGGCTTTCAGAGAACCTTCTTGGGGGGCAAGGGGCTCCCCGTGACCTGCCAGCCCACCCAGGTGCCCCCACGCTTCTGTACTCTGCCAAGCCAGCGCTCCTCCGGGAAAGCCAACACTGGGAGCCCCAAAGCCGGCGTCCCCCCATCTGGGCTGGAGGCCTCTGTCACCCACAGCAGAGCAGCACAAGGCTGGAGGAAAGTGCCAGGTGGCCTGGGGCCACGTGTGGCCGAGACCCCACCATGGGCCGAGACGCAGCCGGCCGGCGGCCCCCGGGCCAGCCCCCACGCAGGGTCGGCCTCCTCGGAGCCCATCAGAGGGAGCACGGCCCTCAGGGCAGGGGCCACCCCCTGGACACCACCTCTCTCGCCCGTGTCTGCCCGGCACCCCAGAAGTGGTCTGCGGCGCCGAGGGAAAGGCCCCAGGGAGGGACGCGCCCGGGACGGGGCGCTGTGGAAGGGCTTCTGGAGCAGAGCCGGTCTGCTCTGGCCACGTGTCTCCCCAGGGCCCCGCGTCGGGGCCATCTGTGCACAAGAGCCGGGGCCGGGATCCTCGGGTGTCCTGGGACAAGGGGGGTCCGGAGCCCCATCGGCCTGGCTGGGTGACTACGGGCTGGGGCGGGGCCCGAGGATCTCGACGGGACCGCTGACCTGCGCCTGTGGCCTGGGCCGAGGGCGCCCAAGGCCGGCCAGCACGTCTGCACCTTGAGACCCGCGGGGACCACCCCGGGCACCCGCGTCAGATACGGCGGGACAGATGAGGCCGTGGCGGGGCAGCGGTGCGGTCAGTAAGGAGCAGGCTGCAGGGAGAATCCCGTCCTCCGCAGAGGATGCGGGCGGCTCGGGGCCGTGACCAGCAGCTGCTGGGAGAGGTGGGGGGAGCAGCGGGACGAGCGCGGGCCGGGACGGAGCCGGCTCCCGCGGGCCCTGGAACGGCTGTCTGGGCTCAGCGCGGCCCGCCGAGCCCTGGCGTGAGGAGCTGGGTGAGGCCAGCCGCCCAGCCGGTCACCCTGGCCACTGCTGACGGGCAAGCCAGGAGGCCACGGGGCTCGGGACGCTCTCGGCCTTCTCCAGAGTCGCTCCCAAAGGGCTCTTGCTCTCCAGGTCCATGTCTGGGTGTTGCAGCCAGACCCGCCGCTGGCTAACACCCCCAGGCCATGTTGGGGCTCACTTGGAGAAGAGGGTTCTTCGGTGGGCCAAACTTGCACAACCCCATTTTCCTGGGGTCTGGGAAGCCAGGAAACAGGGGCGCAGGCATGGGAGAAGCTGCGGCCAGGACCGGCTCATTCCTGGGGCCGCGCTGGCCCCTGCTGGCCGCCACGGGCATAGCAGCTGCAGCAGCAGGGGCGGCGTAGGCATCACCGCCCACGCAAAGCACTGCTCACCCCGCTCCGTGGGCTCACCCCCACTTCGCTGCCCAGAAAACCGGGGGCTGTGGCCCTCACTGACCCATGCCCCAGCTCCCACCCGCTCAGCAGACACGCGTGGAGCGTGGCAGAGGCTCAGACGAAGCAGCAGCCTCC